ACAATCCCAACCCAGCCATGAGACACAGGAATGAGATCTCTCTACACTGTGCCCCTGCTGCCCCTTCTTGCCATACCCATCTCTTCAACATTCCTCAAATATGCCATGCAAGTTCCTGCCTTTGCACAAGCTATGCCCTTCTCTGGAGTGTTCTTATCCTTGTGAATTGCCATACAGCTGCTGAGGACCAGTCCAGTCATTTCCTCCCTAGGCCTCCAAGAGTCCCAGTCCCTGATTCCATCTCAGTGCCTGTCTGCACCTGTATTCCTGACTCTGCCGGGCTCCTTCTACCCTGTAATGAACTTGCTGGGAGGTCTCTTCTAGCCTGGGCACTCTCTGCTCTCTGAGGAAAGGCATCTTGGGTGCCTCTGTCTGGACCTCGGTGCCTAGCTCGTACATAGTCCAATCCTTCCTTAAGTACTTCCACATACCTGTCAGACTCTGCAGAGCTCTCTGCCCCGCCCCCTAGGCCTGAGGATCAGATAAGGCTCCCAGGATAGGCGCTTAGGGGAGGGGGGCTGCATATGCCAGAAGCTATAATGTGATGGCTACTGAGAAGAGTTCCCCAGAACCAAAAACCAGTCCTGGCCATCGGGGACCAAACAGCCACCCCGCACCACACGGGCTGCACTCCAAGTCTGCTCTCTCCAATTCCAACAATCTACTCCCGGCTTGACCCCATTCAATGAAGACACATCTTCTTTTTCCAGCAAATGGGCCAGGTAGGGGCTCTTGGGAGGCCATGCTCCCATTTACTGGTGGAGAATTGAGGTGCAGAGACCGGAAATAGTCTGCCCAAGGTCACTGGAGCCCCAGGTCCAGGGCGTAGGGTCGTAGCAATGTGCAGAGCTCTAAGGGTCACCACAGTCAAGGAGGTGGGAGCCTTCGTTTCACAGCCGAGCAAAGGCGCCCGAAGGCGGGCTAGCTCTGGATCCCGAGAGCCTTCATGCCTAAGGGCTGAGGGCTAGAAGCACTCTGTCCCGCCGGTTCGCCCTCCTCCCTACCGTCTCTAGCCCGACCTCGCATCCTCAAGAGGCGACTCGCATCCCCACCACCGGTAGGAGAAACAACACAACCCAGAAGAAACGCCCGCGGAAGTAGGCGCCGGGCGCAGAGTCGCCGCGCGGCCTCAGTGTTCCCTTCTGTGAAATGGGGAAACCCCGGGCCACGCGCGGCGAAGGGGCGCCTGCCTGGGAGGCCTCCGCGGCCGCACTGACCTGGTCTGAGCGAAGACTCCACGCGGGGAGCCGGAGTTCCGGCGCTGCACACTCTCAGACTCGCAACGCCGCAGCTAAGTCGCAGCCTCGAGTCCGGCGCGCCCACCCCGCCGGGCGCTTCCGCCCGCCTCACGTGACGCCCCAAGCAGGGCAGGGCGGGACAGGGGTAAGGGCAGGGCCCCGCCCCCTCCCTGGCCCCGCCCAGTCGCGTTCTTGGAGTCCGCTGTCCCCGCTCGCCTTGCAGGCGGGTCGCTCTGTGGGGCCATCTCTCTCGCCTCGCTGCTCGA